AGATATATTTTACTAGTTGCTAAAATGCAAAAGGAACTAAAGATGGCTCAGATATATGACCAATGAGAAACGTTCTGGACAAAAAGAAGAAAGCTTTTGAAAACTAAAAGTGGTTGCATTTTTTAAGACTTAATGGGCCTTTAAATCAAACATGTATTATAAAAACAGTTTAAAATGTAGGCATGGTGACATGACACAAAATATTTCTTTTTGTGAAATAAAATAGAATCATTTTAAAAAGAAATAAACAAGCATGTGTATACTCCTACAATAAAGAATTAATATCATGTGTTTACATAATGTACTTTATACATTCAATCAATATTCATGTTACAAATATTTACATGGTAGCAAAATTGTGACAAAAAGTTTAATTAACTGATAAGGAATACATATGTACAAGTATTAACATATTTACTAAAAAAAATGTAATCAGCTAAGTTAATCTAGACTTTTGTCATGACTGTTCTAAAAACACCTAAATACTTTAATCTTCAGGTCAATATTATGAAATAAATGATAATAAATAAGTTCATAATATATGGCTGCCGGGGTGAAATAGGATATTTGAATCCCCCAAAAAACTGGTATATATTACCGTGATGTAGCCAAGAACTTGTATATATCCCCGAGGTGCAGCTGATAATTGGTACATTTAACCCCAAGGTGCGACCAACAACTGGTATATATACATGTTTATCCCCAAGGTGCAGTCAACAACTAGTATATACGTATATCCCCATGGTGTGACCAACAACGGTATATATATATCCCCAAGGTGTGACCAAGAACTGGTATATATATACCAAAGGAGCAGCCAGCAACTGTTATATATATACCCATGGTGAGACACACAACTGTTATAGATATCCCCAAGGAGCAGTCAGCAACTGGAATATATATATCACCATGGTACGGCCAACAACTGGTATATATATCCCCATGGTGCGGCACACAACTAGAATATATATCCCCATGATGCGGCACACAACTTGTATATATATCCCCATGGTGCGGCACACAACTGGTATATATATACCCAAGAAGCAGCCAGCAACTGGTATATATTGTCTCAAGGTAAAGTCAACAACTTGTATATATCCTTCGAGGTGTATGTCCCTAAAAAGATAGCTAAGAGGCAATAAAGAATAAGCAATATGCACTTACACCTGACAGCAATGCGTTATATTGTCCTATATGTATATTATATAAATACCTTATATGTATATGATTATAAAAACAACTTTAACCCCTAACTCATTTCAACTTCTGGTTTATCAGTCAGAATTTCTATTTTTACCATAAAAAGTAAATGGTTCACCAGCAATGTTTAGAAATGCGCTAAGTAAAAAAGCATTAAAAAATAAATAGTGCAGCAGTAACATGTATGCTTAGATATGTGCTAAATTAAAATTATTGTGATAAAAGTATATTTTACTTTTTCAACCTACTAACTTACATCATTATCCTTCTGACCTTGTACATTAAGCATATTTTCATTAAATAAACTTATTCTCCATCTGGCCATGTACATTAAGCACATTTTCATTAAATTCAGTTATTCTCCTTCTGACCTTGTAAATTAAGCATATTTTCATTAAATTCAGTTATTCTCCTTCTGGCCATGTACATTAAGCATATTTTCATTAAATTCACTTATTCTCCTTCTGAACTTGTACATTAAGCATATTTTCATTAAATTCACTTATTCTCCTTCTGAACTTGTACATTTAGCATATTATCATTAAATTTACATATTCTCCTTCTGACATTGTACATTATACATATTTTCATTAATTTCAGTTATTCTCCTTCTGGCCATGTACATTAAGCATATTATCATTAAATTCAATTATATTCCTTCTGGCCATGTACATTAAGCACATTTTCATTAAATTCACTTATTCCCCTTCTGACTTTGTACATTAAGCATATTTTCATTAAATTCACTTATTCTCCTTCTGACCTTGTACATTAAGCATATTATCATTAAATTCACGTATTCTTCTTCTGACCTTGTACATTATACATATTTTCATTTAATTCACTTATTCTCCTTCTGGCCATGTACATTAAGCATATTATCATTAAATTCATTTATTCTCCTTCTGACCTTGTACATTATGCATATTTTCATTAAATTCACTTATTCTCTTTCTGGCAATGTACATTAAGCACATTTGCATTCAATTCATTTACTCTCCTTCTGACCTTGTACATAAAGCATATTTTCATTTAATTCACTTATTCTCCTTCTGGCCATGTACATTAAGCATATTATCATTAAATTCATTTATTCTCCTTCTGGCCTTGTACATTAAGCACATTTTCATTGAATTCATTTATTCTCCATCTGACCTTGTACATAAAGCATATTTTTATTAAACTCACTTATTCTCCTTCTGGCCATGTACATTAAGCATAGTGTCATTAAATTCATTTATTCTCCTTCTGGGCATGTACATTAAGCATATTATCATTAAATTCATTTGTTCTCCTTCTGGTCATGTACATTAAGCACATTTTCATTAAATTCATTTATTCTCCTTCTGACCTTCTGACCTTGTATATTAAGCATATTTTCATTCAATTCACTTATTCTCCTTTCTGACCATGTACATATAGCATATTTTCATTAAATTCATTTATTCTCCTTCTGGTCATGTACATTAAGCACATTTTCATTAAATTCATTTATTCTCCTTCTGACCTTCTGACATTGTACATTATGCATATTTTCATTAATTTCAGTTATTCTCCTTCTGGCCATGTACATTAAGCATATTATCATTAAATTCAATTATATTCCTTCTGGCCATGTACATTAAGCACATTTTCATTAAATTCACTTATTCCCCTTCTGACTTTGTACATTAAGCATATTTTCATTAAATTCACTTATTCTCCTTCTGACCTTGTACATTAAGCATATTATCATTAAATTCACGTATTCTTCTTCTGACCTTGTACATTATACATATTTTCATTTAATTCACTTATTCTCCTTCTGGCCATGTACATTAAGCACATTATCATTAAATTCATTTATTCTCCTTCTGACCTTGTACATTATGCATATTTTCATTAAATTCACTTATTCTCTTTCTGGCAATGTACATTAAGCACATTTGCATTCAATTCATTTACTCTCCTTCTGACCTTGTACATAAAGCATATTTTCATTTAATTCACTTATTCTCCTTCTGGCCATGTACATTAAGCATATTATCATTAAATTCATTTATTCTCCTTCTGGCCTTGTACATTAAGCACATTTTCATTGAATTCATTTATTCTCCATCTGACCTTGTACATAAAGCATATTTTTATTAAACTCACTTATTCTCCTTCTGGCCATGTACATTAAGCATAGTGTCATTAAATTCATTTATTCTCCTTCTGGGCATGTACATTAAGCATATTATCATTAAATTCATTTGTTCTCCTTCTGGTCATGTACATTAAGCACATTTTCATTAAATTCATTTATTCTCCTTCTGACCTTCTGACCTTGTATATTAAGCATATTTTCATTCAATTCACTTATTCTCCTTTCTGACCATGTACATATAGCATATTTTCATTAAATTCATTTATTCTCCTTCTGGTCATGTACATTAAGCACATTTTCATTAAATTCATTTATTCTCCTTCTGACCTTCTGACCTTGTACATTAAGCATATTTTCATTCAATTCACTTATTCTCCTTTCTGACCTTGTACATAAAGCATATTTTATTTAAAATTCACTTGTTCTCCTTTCTGACAATGTACATAAAGCATATTTTCATTAAATTCATTTATTCTCCATCTGACCTTGTATATTTAGCACATTTTATTTAATTCACTTATTCTCCTTCTGACCTTGTACATTAAGCACATTTTCATTAAATTCACTTATTCTCCTTTCTGACCTTGTGCATAAAGCATATTTTCATTAAATTCACTTATTCTCCTTCTGACCTTGTATATTTAGCACATTTTATTAAATTCACTTATTCTCCTTCTGACCTTGTACATTAAGCACATTTTCATTAAATTCACTTATTCTCCTTTCTGACCTTGTGCATAAAGCATATTTTCATTAAATTCACTTATTTTCCTTCTGGCCATGTACATTTAGCACATTTTAATTTAATTCACTTATTCTCGTTCTGACCTTGTACATAAAGCATATGTTCAATAAATTCACTTATAAATGTATCAACTGACCTATTCATGTATTTATACTTTTTTCAAATCACTATATGTCTAATCTGTTGTTGTTGTTTTACTTTTTACAAACTATTCCTGATCTTTAGAAATACCTCTTGCCCTTATTAAGATCAATATATCTTTTATATTTCACTGCATTTCTTTCATTTATCTATCTATAAACACAATTTGAATATAATTTTCTTCAATTTCAATATTATAAATACATTTTGTTACATTGTCCAGAATTTAATATTTAATGGACTGTTTATGATGATTGTTTACTACAATATTAAGATTACTTTTTGATTTAAAATAAAAACAAAATAAATTTTTTGTGTGAAACATGATTTTTTTAGACTGAACACTATGTTAAGTGCATGCATTCTATCTCAATATGTTAAAAATTTAAACCATTTTTTTGAAAAGGTAAAAAACAACATTAATTTCAAACACTATGCAAATAAATGGATACTAAATAAATTTTTTGTTGAAAATTTAAAGGTGTGTATCCTCTATGATAAAATTTCAAACCATTTTTTGTTGAAAAAAAAAACAAACAAAAAAACAAACAAACACATTGATCATCTGTTTTATTAGGCATTAATTAAGTTCAAACACAGTGTAACTACATGGATACTTTATCACTTTTTTGTTGAAAATGTAAAGGCATGTATCCTCTAACTGTTTTAATTTCAAATCTCTTTTTTAAGAGAAAATGAAAAAAAAAATCCAAATTTATGTCTTTGAATATGCAATAATTTACTTTAACCACAATATTAACTACATATATTCTACATCACTTTTTATGTTGAAAAGTTCAACCAACAATCATCATCACGTTTAACATGAAATAACTGAACATTATCTTTAACATATTGTCTAGCATCATTTCTTTTCCCTCCGCCATTTCCTTGTAACATATCGTCATTAAACTCCTCGCCATCTCCTGTTATAAAAATGCACTCTACACTCACATCTACAGTATGAGGAATACTAGGAAGACTATCAACAAACTTTTGCCATGTTGTCAAACTCATTATGACAAAAAATAGCTTAATGTTCTTTAAACTCTTCATCTCTAAAGGTGACTGTATTATATTGTCAGTTAACCTACAATTGCCTAAGTTAAGCTTACTGAGAGTGTGTAACAATGGTAATACTATGACTAGTCTCTTTGTTATGTTGGTATGATATAATTGAGATTTATTGTATTCATTTCCGTGCCATTTAAGTTTTTTTAATTTGTAAGATTTTGTAATTATATCAAATATTTCCCCATAATTACTATTTTTCAATTCAACAAATTTAAATATTTCAAGGTTTGTAGTATCAGCATCTATCACATTAACAGCATTATACAAATACTTAAGGTACTGAAGTTGTTGATGTTTTGATAAATTTACATCATGCTGCTTCATACACTCACATTCAACATGATCAAGATATATTTGTTCAAGATGACTGGTTCTCTCAAAAAAATTACAAAATGTAGTAGTATCATCATGACTCATTGTTATACCCTTCATTCTTATTGCTACAAGATTGATCATACTAGGTAGGTAACTAAATTTAAACACTGGGTAATAATGCAAATCATAATAAGAGACATCAAGAGTCAGAGATTTTAATGTTAAAGTGTTTACTTTAATTGTCTCAGAAACACAATTGTTTACCTCGTTAATCCTCTGTTTATCACTTTTTGTTCTTAATAACTTTTGAGATAGAGGGTAATATACTATTTTAATTTTTTCAAGATGATGAAACATTGGTAAATATTTTGTAAATTTATAATTTCGTGTGTTGAGGTCATATACATTTATAGATAGAACAGAGTCAGGAACAATTTGATGCTGGTCAATACTTGAACAAACAATATCACAATCATCACTATCACAATACTGACCCCATCTTTCAAGGACCAAATCTCCTATATAAAATACAGGATTACTTCCTACACTACATGATGCATTGAATTCTTCCATTGAGTCAAACATAAGCTTTTGAAGATCAGTAATAAAACTATGATCCCTATACATGTAACCTCTTATTGTTCTCCTGTATACCTGAACACGGCAGTCTTCTGACACAGTATCATATATATATTTTGAAACATGTGTTGCTAATCTAGGTTCAAGACCAGATAGCATAATGATAACATTTGACTGTTCTAATATGTCATTTACTGTTGAACAATTCTGAAAAACCTCATAAAAAAACTTCTTGGCTAACTCAACATTTCCTGTACTATCTGATGAACCAATTTTTGCATTGAAATTGATACAAATATTCACTGCAGCTAGAAATTCTTGCATTGATTTGTGAATAAAAGAGAACAATGAGCTTGGTGGTTCTGATACAGATAAACTTGGACATTCATCTTCTGTCATTATTCCAAGTTTCAAGCAATTTTCTCTTACTTCATCTGATATTTCTAGTTCATCAAACATACAAATGTCAAATGTCAAGGATTTATCCTTCGGACAATTAAATAGTGTCTCATAAGCCAACTGTGATACTTCATAAATGAAATGGCAGTTTAATTTTAATTTGGTTTTATCTACTAAATATTGAGGGAGGTTTACTTTCTGGGTACCCTTCATGAGTCTAGTACTTGTTCTTGTAGTTTTCATGTCATTCCAGGTGAAGAATAATTCTAACATACCTGTGTAGATGGCACATCTTGAGGTTTTATCAAGTTTACCATCAAACCATAGACATATCAGTTGTTGTAGCATAATTGGTACCTGTTTTAAACTTTCCAGAGACTCTTCTTCTAGCTTTTTCCTACAATCTCCAGCTTCTTTATTAGCATGTCTCTTTACATTTAATTGTGAAACTGTCCTGTTTATCATTTCCCTTTCACATCTAAAATCAAACCCTTTTAGTTTCAGTGACTGTTCAATCTCCACATCACTTGATCTTAATGTATGAAATTTCCATGGCCGCGAAGTAGTTACTATTGTGTACTCCTTAAAGATACTATGTTCTGGGACATTTTCATTGGCCCATTCATCTAAGCCATCAAGCAAAATCATAACTCTAGAGGATTCCTCTTCAAGAAGTGTGTTTAACATTTTCATTTGATAACGGTTTTGAAGCATTTCATCTATAGTGTCAATTTTTTGATACTGTCTAAGAGGGATGTAAAATACAAAATCATATTCCTTCATCTCTTTTACACCATTGAATTTCAGCTCATAATATTTGCTATCATATTCAGAGACATCACTGTAGAATTCTGTTAAGTCAGTAACAGAGTCGACACTATCAGATACGGAGTGTGTTAAGTCAGCATCGGAGTCAAATATGTCTTTGACTATGTAGTCATTTAAACTATCACCAGATCCATCACTATTAAATTTAAAGCCTGTTAAGATATCATCAGAGTCATAAATGTCAGATTTGGAATGGATTGAGTCATCATCAGAGTCATCATTGTCAAATTCAAAATATGTTAAGTCACCATCAGAGTCGTCACTATGGAAATCAGAGTCATTATTGTGGGATTCGGTATGTATTAAGTCAAAACTGTTACCCTGAATATCATCACTGTCACTTCCATTTTTCTTTATGCCATCCACTTGTTTTTCATCTCCTCCTTTCTCATTAACACCTCCGTGTGTCTTACTGCCCCGTAAGATATCATCAGTGTCGTCACTGTCAGATTTGGAATGCATTGACTCACCATCAGAGTCATCATTGTCGGATTTGGAGTCATTTAAGATATCATCAGAGTCATCATTGTGAGATTTGGAGTGTATTAAGCCATCACTGTTATCCTGAATGTCATCACTGTCACTTCCATTTTTCTTAATGCCACCCAAATGTTTTTCATCTCCTCGTTTCTCAATAACAACTCCATGTGTCTTACTGCCCTCTTCGTTTTCAATGTCTCCACTATGTGTCCCCTTTACCTCTTCATTAACAGTGTCACTTCCCTTTTTTTCATGTTCTTCAAAATCACCTCCTTGTTTCTCAGTGCCACCTTCATTGTCATTGACACCTCCAGATTCATGTTTTTCATCGTCAATTCCATGTTTCCCACTGTCATCTTCAGGTTTACTACTGCCATCTTCATTTTCATTGACCCCGACATATTTTTCATCATCACCTCCATGTTTTTCACTGTCACCTTCAGGTTTACTACTGCCACCTTCATTTTCATTACCAGCTCCATGTTTTTCACCATCACATCCATGTTTTTCACTGTCACCTTCAGGTTTACCTCTGCCATTTTCGTTTTCATTGTCAGCTTCATGTTCCTCACTGTGTGCCAAACACCAACAGTTGACCAGGTATTTACAAAAACTAGTTTTTCCTGAACCTGCATCTCCTACAAGATATACAGATTTTTGGAGAATTCCGTTCTTTGTGAAGATTTCTGACATTGATGTTAACTCCTTCTCAGTTATCTCTCCCTTTTCTCCTTGTATTTCCCTGGTTATTTTGGGCCTAATATAAATCTCATTAAAGCTACATTTTTCACGTTTTGGTTGTAAAGGTGTTGTAGGAACTTGCAGCAGGATTTTGTGATACTCTTCTATCAGCTTTTTCCGCCATTCTGTAATTTAAATGATTATATGAAATCCAATCAAATGGTAATTTGCATTTACCCGTACCGTCCATGAACAGGCTCAACCAAACCAACCCTGTAACATTTTCAATTTTGTCGTTTTGGGCTTTCTTTAGGGATTCTTAGTTTTCTTTTTAGCACTTTTCATATTCTATATAAAATACCTGATTAAGTCTTTTAAAATTGTGTACAACATATTCATAGTCACATTCTATTTACCAAACCTGATTTAACCTTTACATATTCTATATAACATACTATATTTTATCATTTCATGTTTAAATGTTGAATTCTGCTTAAGTCGGTGCTAGGAGTCGTGGACGGTAGTTTGCACTTACCAGTACCGTCCATAAACAGGCTCAACGAAACCCACCCTGTAACATTTTCAATTTTGTCGTTTTAGGCTTTCTTTAGGGATTCTTATTATTTTCTTTTTAGCACTTTTCATATTCTATATAAAATACCTGATTTAGTTTTTTCAAATTGTGTACAACATATTCATAGTCACATTCTATTTACCAAACCTGATTTAACCTTTACATATTCTATATAACATACTAGTACCTGATTTAGCCTTTTCATATTCTATATCACATACCTGATTTAGCATTTTCATATTTTTTATATAACATACCTGATTAAACCTTTACATACTCTATATAACATACCTGATTTAGCCTTTCCATATTCTATATAACATAGCTCATTTAGCCTTTTCATATTCTATATAACATACCTGATCTCGCCTTTTCATATTCTATATAATCTATATAACATACCTGATTTTGCTTTTTCATATTCTATATAACATACCTGATTTTGCTTTTTCATATCTATATATAACATACCTGATTTAGCCTTTTCAAATTCTAACTGTTTTTGTTGAGGAGAATCTTCTACCTTGAGTCTTTTTATCTGCTACAACATTAATTATAATACAAATAATTGTGTGTCATTCATTAAATGTTCAAAAATGTTTATTGTATTAAGTAATATAGGTGTTTTCAGTCTACTTGTATAACATGCTGCGTCCCAATATTCAGTAGAATTTCTACGAGACAAACTTCAATTAGTTGAATTTCTGGATGTGTTGAAGTCAAATTAAAGTCCTGATTTTTTACCCATTATATTCTTTATAGACTAGAACTCCACGAGTCGGATGTATTGCCTAGTCAACTGTATAGCTGTCAGTTAGGCATTTTCTTCTTAAATATAGGTTTTTATTATCACTGCTCTTGCACTGTGCATGTAATTTTAACTTAGTGTAAAATGTTACATCAGGATAAACTAGAAATGTGTCCATAGGACACGGGTGCCCCCACACTCCATCTATTTGTCAATCTTATGCAACTAGGTCAAATGTTGTTTTTTTTGCTACATCCGCCTAAGTTGAAAACTAAAGATCTTGTATTTGGTAAAGGGCAAATACTACAAATAGTCACATACTAAATAAATCCAAAAAGAACCTCAAGGTGCATAAGTACACATGCTGACAAACTTTCTTGGAAACTTTCAGGCCTACAGGTCATAAACTTTTTGAGAGACGTGCAACACAAGTTGAAAATTGTAAATTTTACTCAGTTCAGGGCAATAACTTAAAAAATGAAAAAAATATCCACACAAAAATACCCAGGTGCACAACTACACATGCTGATGAGCAATCCTGTAAGGTTTCATGACTCTAGGTCAAATATTTAATGAGTTAGGTGCGAGACAAGTTGAAAATTGCAAATTTTTACTAAGTCAAGGGCAATAACTCTAAAAATACTAAATATATAAACACAATAATACCCAGGTGCACAACTATGCATGCTGAGCAAAATTCTTGTAAGGTTTCATGACTGTAGATCAAATACTTTTGAGTTAAATGCGAGGCAAGTTGAAAATTGCAATTTTTTACTAAGTCAAGGGCAATTACTCTAAATATACTAAATATATCCACCCGATAATACCCAGGTGCACAACTATACATGCTGAGCAACATTCTTGTAAGGTTTCATGACTGTAGGTCAAATACTTTTTGATTTACATGCGAGGCAAGTTGAAAATTGCAAATTTTTACCAAGTCAAAGGCAATAGCTCTAAAAATTCTAAATATATCCAAATGAAAATACACAGGTGCACAACTTCACATGCTGATCAACAGTCCTGTAAGGTTTTCATGACTCTAGGTCAATTACTTTTTGAGCTACGTGCGACACAAAAAGGGAACGGATAGACGGATGGACGGGTTTTCTCACAGGACAATACTTATGTGGCTACTCTATTGTTCTCTCTATTGTTCATTTAGCCACACAAAAGAAACTAGCCATATAAAAGCATTACTGAATGAATGACATCAAAGAGAAAGAATAGTTACATATTGTCCCACTAGCCACATAATCACTTCCTTTTGAGTGCGGACGGATGGAAGGACAAGAAAAAATCTAAATGCCCCCCCGTTAGTTGGGGCACAATAAAACATTTATATTATCAAAAATACAAATATCATGGAAAAGGTTTTCACTGACAGAACAAACGAAGGACTATGTCATGGATTCTTATGCAATGCACTTCGGGTCAATTAAAAAAGAGGGCCATGTTGACCCTGGATCGCTCCCCTGACCCATCAACCGCATCAAAACATTGTCTTAGACAAGCATCCTGGCCAGGTTTGATGACAATGGAGTCAAAAATGTGACATGGAGTGTGTTGAAAAGGTTTTCCATATTTGGGCAATGTGACCTAATTTTTGACTGGAGACAACCCATATTCAAACTTGACCTAGTAATCATCAAAACAACCTTTCTGTCAAATTTCCAGGATATTTGGATCAAAACTGCAGGTACTAAAGTGTTATAAATATTTTTCTATTGTTAGCTCCTGTGACATTGTTTTTGACCGGAGATGACCCATCTTCGAACAACCTTCCTGACAAATTTCAAGAATGTCTGGATCAAAACTGCAGCCACTAGGGTGTTAACAAGTTTTTTTTTTATTTTTAGCTCCTGTGACCTAGTTTTTGACTGGAAGTAACACATCTTCGAACTTGATCTATAATTTATCAAAACAACCTTCTTGACAAATTTCCAGAGTATTTGGATCAAAACTGCAGCTACTAGAGTGTTAACAAAATTTTTCTATTTTTAGCTCCTGTGACCTAGTTTTGACCGGAAATGACCCATCTTCTAACTTGACCTAAACATTATCAAAGCAACCTTCCTGACAAATTTCTTGAATATTTGTATCAAAACTGCAGCCACTAGAATGTTAACAAGCTTTTTCTATTTTTAGCTCCTATGACCTAGTTTTTGATCGGAAAAAATTGCCCTAGAAATCATTTAAACAACCTTCCTGACAAATTTCCAGAATATTTGGATCAAAACTACAGCCACTAGAGTGTAAACAAGCTTTATCTACTGTTAGCTCCTGTGACCTAGTTTTTGACTCTAGATAACCCGTGTGCGAACTTGATCTGTATTTCATTGAGACAAATATTCTGACAAGTTTTACAAAGTTTACAATGATCCAATCAAAACTGACTGCTAGGCTGTTAACAACCCAATTGTTGACGACGCACGACGACGGACATAGCCCCATCACTATACTCACCTCGACCACTTCTTGGTCAGGTGAGCTAAAAAGCTTACATACCAAATTTGGAGTCAATCAAACTTATAGTGACCCAGTTATGCTCTGGACAAGATTATTAAGTAAGAACATAAACAAGAGGGTCATGATTGCCCTGAGTCACTCACCAGAAACAACTGCTTTTCAATGTTGGAATGTCAATAAATTCAAATGTTAAATTTGAGCATACAATATGTTTAAAGAATAATTTGAAAAAATGCCATGACCTGGGGGTTTAAGCTTTATCTTAAACGGGCTAATCAAATTAATATGAGCAAACTACTTAAGAATGATGATGTTTGGTGATCATCAATCAATTATTTCAGTAGGAAATGATGTTCGAAGGTTTTTTTTCTATTTTTAGCTTAAGTGGCCCCTAAAAGTGGCTAATCAAATTAATATAAACAAACTTGATAAAAGACTACCCGAGAATACTAAAGACAAAGTTTGATGATCATCCATCAATTGGTTCTGTGTAGAAGGTGTTACAAGGTTTTTCTATTTTTAGCTTGACTGGCCAAACAAATTAATACGAGCAAACTTGATAAAAGATTACTCAAAAATGCTACAGACAAAGTTTGGTGATCATCCATTAATAAGTTCTGTAGGAGAAGATGTTTAAATGTATTTCTATTTTCAATTTTAGCGGCCCTTAAAAGGAGCTTATCAAATTAATATGAGCAAACTTTATAAAAGACTACCCAAGAATGCAACAGACAAAGTTTGGTGATCATCCATCAATACTGAGTTCCCTAGAACTAGACATTTAACCGTATTTCTATTTTTAGCTATAGAGACCACTAAAAGGGGCTAATCAAATTAATATGAGCAAATTTGATAACAGATTACCCAAGAATGCTACAGAAAAAGTTTGGTGATCATCCATCAATTAGTTTTCTAGAAATAGACATTTAAAGGTATTTCTATTTTTAGCTTTTGCGGTCCTTCAAAGGGGCCGATCAAAATAATATTAGCAAACTTGATAAAAGACTACCCAAGAATGCTACAGACAAAGTTTGGTGATCATCCATCAACTAGTTCTCTAGAAATAGACATTTAAGTATTTCTATTTTAGCTTTTGCGGCCCCTAATAGGGGCTAATCAAATTAATATGAGCAAACTTGATAAAACACAACCCCAGAATGCTACCGAAATAGTTTAGCGATTATCCATCAATTAGTTCTGTAGAAGATGATGTTTTAAGGTTTTTTACTATTTTTAGCCCTAGAAATCTCTAAAGGGGCCAATCAAAATAATAATTAGCAAACTTGATAAAACACTACCCAAGAATGCTACAGACAAAGTTTGGTGATCATCCATCAATTGGTTCTGTAGGTGAAGATGTTTAAAGGTTTTTTTCTATTTTTAGCTTTAGCGGCCCCTAAAAGGGGCCAATCAAATTGATATGAACAAACTTGATAAAAGACTACACAAGAATGCTACAGACAAAGTTTGGTGATCATCCATCAATTAGTTCTCTAGAAATATACATTTTACGATATTTCTATTTTTAGCTTTAGCGGCCCCTAAAAGGGGCCAATCAAATTAATATGAACAAACTTGATAAAACACTACCCAAGAATGCTACAGACCAAGTTTGGTGAGTTTCCATCAATTAGTTCTGTAGAAGAAGGTGTTTGAAGGTTTTTATATTTTTAACTCTGCTGGCCCCTTTGCTGGCCCCTAAAAGGGGCGTATTGGAATGTCATAAGAAAATTCAAGTGTGACTTTCACAAGGATTCTACAGACCAAATTTGAAGTAGATCTGCTCAGTAATTTCAGAGAAGAAGACGATTGTTGACACATGACGACGGACCACGGACGCCGGAGCATCCCCCTTTGATACAAATAGCTCATCCTGAGCCTTCGGCTCTTGTGAGCTAACAAAGGGCAATAAGTCAATAAGAGTCACCACTGGGCAGGGGCAACACTAGACATTTTCACTTTTTCTCAAGCAAACAAATAAACGGATTAAACAAATCTCAAATTACACAATAAATAAAGAAAACAAACGAATTCGTTGAATTTATATCCCTCACCGAGTACTGGTTATTAGTTACACAACAACAGTTTTCTTAAGACATAAGGCTTTATTTATATATTTATCATGGCATAAACAGTCATATTCGTTGTACATAATAAATATTCAAGGCAATAACAGAGCCCTAACTTGGGTGTTAAATAGTTATATCTGGACATGGCAATGAGATGTAAATTGCCTTTTTGTACCGTATCTATGAGACTTTGACTCATGAATTCGTCTGAATTTCATAACAAATTTTCAACCCGTGAGTAGCCCTTATCATAGGATCGATAACGTTACCTATTTCATGTTTTTCTTTCATTCATTAATCTAATATTTTACATTATACAATGATAAATATGACGTTATGCAACTTTTCACGGCTAAATTGATTTTGACTACATGTTGATGTAAACAATGAAGTTACAAAAGGCGTAACAATATGAAAGGGCAATAACTTAACCAGCATAAAGTAAATATTTCGCGTGTGCTTATCTAGCAACACCGGGTCAATGAAGTACTCAAATGATAGTTCTTACTGTTTACCTGAACATTCAAATACCGTTAAGGCAATTTAAATAGTAACGATTAAAGCATTTTTCAAACATATCTAAAAACGCATACAATGGCTGTTTGAACACTGGGCTGTGTAATTAACACCTGCCACTAAAGTTGATCTGAAATCTAGATAATTTTCACAACAAAATTCGCCAGAAAAGATATGAAAAATGTGTCACGATCGAAGGTGTCAAAATAATTGAAGAACTTTGACTTATATGTGGTAAATTGTACTAGATTTATTCTATACAGACCACGAAAAAACTTCGACACATCAAAAATTTGTAACATAAAATTTCAACTCATTAATAGGTTTCTATGAGGAATATATAAAGGAAAAAATCGGGACTTTCATTTTACTTTGACAAATCGAGAAAATCGACTAATCGCAGTTCGACTCATAGAAGTTTTACTGTTCTGGTCTGAACAATGCAACATATTATGCACATCTCGTCTTGATATTAAGTGATTATTATACAAGTAGATGATATGTGCATCTCCTCTTATTACTGAAGGTTCCCATAAAGTTTTGTTGAATTCCAGCCAGTAGTTGCTGAGAAGTAGTGCGGAAACGATTATTGCGCTATATGCATACTGCATTACTAATCAAGGGCCATAACTTGCAGTATAAGTGTCTGACAGAAACAAGGCAACGATATGCATATCTCCTTTTGATATTGAAGGTTCCCATATTCCAGTCAGTAGTTGCAGAGAAGTAGCACGGAAACGATGTTTGCTCTATATGTATACTGTATAACTAATCAAGGGCCATAACTCGGAGAGAAAGTGTCTGAACGGAACACGGCAACCATATGAGCATCTCCTCTTTGTATTGAAAATTCCCATCCATAAAGTTTTATTGAATTTGAGCCAGTAGTTGTAGATAAATAGCACGGAAACAATGTTTGCTCTATATGCATACTGGATGACTAATCAAGGGCCATAACTCAAAGTTTAAGTGTCTGACCGGAACAAGCCGACGATATGCGCATCTCCTCTTAATATTAAAGGTTCCTATAATGTTTCGTTGAATTCCAGCCAGTAGTTGCAGAGAAGTAGCGCGGAAACGATTATTGCTCTATACAACTGTATGCAAACTGCATAACTAAACATAAAGGGCCATAACTCTGAGTTTAGGTGCCTGACCGGAACAAGCCGACGATATGCGCATCTCATCTTCGTATTTAAGGTTCCCATAATTGTTCGTTGAATTCCAGCCATCAGTTGCAGAGAAGTAGCGCGGAAACAATGTTTGCTCTATATGCATAATACATAACTAATTAAGGGCCATAACTGTGATTAAAAAGGTCTGACTGGAACAAGCCGACAATAATGCGTATCTCCTTTTGATATTGATGATTCCCATAAAGTTTCATCGAATTCCAGCTAGTAGTTGCAGAGAACTAGCGCAGAAACGAAATTTGAACAGACAGATGGACGGAGGGACAACGCCAAAACAATATCCCCATCCCGATTCCATCACCGGGGGATAACTACAAATGTGTCCATATAAGACACATGCGGCGCCAGTCACTTCACTGTTTTGTCAATCTTATGACTTTAGGGCAAATATTTGGTGGGCTTAGTAACACATTACACAAGTCTAAAACTAAAAATCTTATCTCCCTTTACAAAACTAAATAAATCAACAAGCAAACCCAAAGGCCAAATGAGCATAAAACAGATGATGACCAACATTCTTTACAGCAGAAGAGTTTGACATTTCAAAGCAATAGTCAAAGTGTATAGGATATGAGTGTGGTTGTACATGAAATTCTACGTAAAAAATGGGGCATAATTTTGTCAAAATCCAAAATTGTAATACAAAAACAAGAGGGCCCGGATGGTCCTAGATTGCTCACCTGACCAATCGAACTTATCCATCAATTACCTAAACAAGCACCCTGTCCAAGTTTCATGACAGGTGAGTCAAAAATGTGACCATTAGAGTGTTAATAAGGATATTCCATATTTGAGCAGTCATCCGAAACAAACAGTAATACATGTATCAGTATATCACCCGGAAACAAACAGTAAAACATGTTCCAGTATATCATCTGGAAGCAAACAGTCATACATGTTCCAGTATATCATCCAGAAACAAACAGTAATAGATATACTTGTATATCAACCACAAACAAACAGTACAATAGATTTAAATATCAACCAGAAACAATCAGTAATACACAAAGTGGGGTTTATCAACAGGAAACAAACATTAATAGATATACCTGTATATCAACTGCAAACAAACAGTAATAGATTTACCGGTATATCATTCGGAAACAAACAGTACAATAAACTTGTATATACATGTACCGGTATTTCAACCGGAAACAATCAGTAATACATTTATCGGTATATCAACCAGAAACAAACAGAAATACATGTACCAGTATATCAACTAGAAACAAACAAGAATACATGTACAGGTATATCAACCAGGAAAAAAACAGTAATTCATGTACCGGTATATCAACCAGAAACAATCAGTTAAACATGTACATACGTGTACCGGTACGTACGGAAGCGACCTGGTGCCAATTTAAAAAAGATAACTCCTACGAAGGACTTTGTAACTCCTACGTAGGAGCCTACGTAGGAGATAAAAAAAGCCTTATTACGAGTTTATAGCTCCTACGTAGGAATTTGTTAGTCCTACGTAGGACTTAATTAGTCCTACGTAGGACTTTATAACTCCTACGTAGGAGATATAAAAAAAACTAATTAGGAGTTTTAAAGTCCTACGTAGCACTTACAAACTCCTACGTAGGACTTTATAACTCCTACGTAGGAGATACATAACCTAATTAGGAGTTTTAAAGTCCTACGTAGGAGTTTAAAAGTCCTACTTGGGACTAAGTGTTCTTCTACGTAGGAGTTATAAAGTCCTACGTAGGAGTTATAAACTTCTAATTAGGCTTTTTTATCTCCTACGTAGGAGTTAAAAAGTCCTACGTAGGAGTTATAAAGTCCTACGTAGGAGTTATAAAGTCCTACGTATGAGTTATAAAGTCCTACGAACGGAGTTATAAACTCCTAATTAGGTTTTTGTTTATCTCCTACGTAGGAGTTATCTTTTTTATAGAACATGTTAAATTTGCACCAGGACGCTTCCGTAGGTATGTCAACTAGAAACAAGCAGTAATAAATGTACCGGTTTATCAACAGGAAACAAACAGTTAAACATGTACCAGTATATCAATCAGAAACAAAGAGTAATACATGTATTGGTATATCAAAGGGAAACAAACAATTGAACACATTCTACCTCTTTCTGCTCTGTCTCAAGAGCAGTAAATTTTCTTTTCAACTCTGTACGTTCTTTCTCAGCTTCCGACATGTGTGCTTTAAGTTCAGTTAATTTACTTTTGAGCACCTCTAATTCCTCTTTAGTTGCAGCATTTTCTGTTCTCATTTCTTCTTTGATTTGTGTCAGAATTTCTTCAAAGTCTTCAGTTGTAATAATGAATTCCTTCTTCTTCAGCTTATAACAAGAAACAATTTTCAAATGTATCTGCTATGTGATTTATAATATTTATAACATAAATAAGGTCAAACTTTATATTTCAAAATCATCTCAATTTGTACTTTATGTTACAACTTCTAAAGTCAAGGCCGGATTTACCGTCAAATTTATCTATTTTCATTGTTTTCTTCTTTAACCCTATATTCACAAATAAAAATATGTATCAATATAAGTTTATTTAGGGCAGTTGTTATTTAAATTTGATTATAATGAAACAAATTTAAGCTCTTTTTTCTATTATCATAAAATTTACCATAAATTTAGAGGTGAGCTTGTTTAATTATTATAACTTACTTTAAGATTTCCAACTTATAATTGATTATGTACACTTACATCTTGAAGTTTCCAAACAGCTTGTTGTGCATCTTGTCGATGTAAAAGTTCCTTACCATCTTGTAGAACAGCTATCATATCGTCAATGTAACAATTAGCCTTACTCTCCTCTAACTCCATACTGCTTGAGTGAAAAATCTCATTTCGGTACTGCCGTACCTAATATACAGAAAACAATTATTACAATATTCACATAAATACAGTGTTCAGCAATGAGACTAAACACAATTCTTCAAGTGAGAATTAAAACTGTAATAAAGGAGTTACATTAAAATACTTAATAATTATCATTATTATTAGTGTGTTTAAACCGCAGATTATATAAAAGCAAAATGAATAGAAATGGCTTTTGATAAATGTTATAATTATTTTACTGAAGTAACGGTTTTTACCTGTTGCATTTGCTTACTAAGCACAAATAACCTACTTCTTTACATTTTACAGTGAAGCTTAAAATAAAAAAAGTTTTTGTTTCCCACCCACAAAAATTACAGCTAGCCGAAAGAATGTTCATGTATAGCAAAAAAATATGTGAATAAGATATTATGCATAACAATTTTAAATCATTATACATTTGTTGCAAATTGTTTCTCTGGCAAAATAACTCCATTAACCTCATAGTTATATGGACATAAATTCAGCTTAGTGCAGTAATCAGTTAACTCTTATAACAAGAGGGCCATGATGGCCCTGAAGTGATGGCCCTGAATCACTCCCCTGACCCATCAACCACATCCAAGCAATGTCTAAGACAAGCATCCTGGCCAAGTTTGATGACAACAGAGTCAAACATGTGACCTCTAGTGTGTTTATTTTTTTTTCCATATTTGGGCAATGCGACCTAATTTTTGACTGGAGACGATCCATATTTATACTTGACTTAGAAATCATCAAAACAACCTTCCAGACCAATTTCCAGGTAATTTGGATGAAAACTGCAGCCACTAGAGTGTTAAAAATATTTTTTCTATTTTAAGCTTCTTTGACCTAGTTTTTGACCGGACATGACCAATCTTCATACTTGACCTAGAAATCATCAAAAGATCCTTCCTGACAAATTTCCAGAATATTTGGTTCAAAACTGCAGCCAGTAAAGTGTAAACAAGCTTTCTCTATTTTTAATTAATGTGACCTAGTTTTTGATCGGAGATCACCCATCTTCGAACTTGACCTAGAAATCATCAAAGCAACCTTCCTGACAAATTTCCAGAATATTTGGTTCAAACTGCAGCCTCTAGAGTGTTTACAAGCTTTTTCTATTTTAAGATCCTGTGACCTAGGTCAATTTCTATTTTTTTGCTCATGTGACCTAATTTTTGACCGGACATAACCCATCTTCAAACTTGTCCTAGAAATCATCAAAACAACCTTCCTGACTAATTTCTAGTATTTTTGAATCAAAACTGCAGCCACTAGAGTGTTGACAAACTTTTTCTATTTTTAACTCCTGTGACCTAGTTTTTGACCGGACATGACCCATCTTCGAACTTGACCTTGAAATCATAAAAACAACCCTTCTGACAAATTTGCGGAATATTTGGATGAAAACTGCATCCACTAGAGTGTTAAAAATATTTTTCTATTTTTAGCTTCTGTGACCTAATTTTTGACCGGTCATGATCTTCGAACTTGACCTAAAAATCATCAAAACAACCTTCCTGACAAATTTCCAGAATATTTGGTTCAAAACTGCAGCCACTGGAGTGTTAACAAGCTTTTTCTATTTTTAGCTCCTGTGACCTAGTTTTTGACCGGAGATGACCCATCTTTGTACTTGGGCTAGAGACCACCAAAACAACTTTCCTGACAAATTTCAAGAATTTTTTAATCAAAACTGCAGCCACTAAAGTGTTAACAAGCTTTTTCTATTTTTAACTCCTGTGACCTAGTTTTTGACCGGACATGACCCATCTTCGAACTTGACCTAGAAATCATCAAAACAACCTACCTGACAAATTTCCAGAATATTTTGATGTAAACTGCAGACACTAGAGTGTTAACAAGCTTTTTCTAATTTTAACTCTTGTGACCTAATTTTTTGACTGGACATAACCATCTTCGCACTTGACTTAGATATCATCAAAACAACCTTCCTGACAAATTTGCAGAATATTTGGATCAAAACTGCAGCCACTACAGTGTTTTAGAATATTTTTCTTTTTTTAGCTCCTGTGACCTAGTTTTTTGATCTGACATGACCCATCTTCGAACTTGAGCTAGAAATCATCAAAACAACCTACCTGACAAATTCCAGAATATTTGAATCAAAACTGCAGCCAGTAATGTGTTAACAAGCTTTCTCTATTTTTAATTAATGTGACCTAGTTTTTGATCGGAGATCACCCATCTTCGAACTTGACCTAGAAATCATCAAAACAACCTTCCTGACAAATTTCCAGAATATTTGGTTCAAACTGCAGCCTCTAGAATGTTTACAAGCTTTTTCTATTTTGAGATCCTGTGACCTAGGTCAATTTCTATTTTTAGCTCATGTGACCTAATTTTTGACCGGACATAACCCATCTTCAAACTTGTCCTAGAAATCATCAAAACAACCTTCCTGACTAATTTCTAGTATTTTTGAATCAAAACTGCAGCCACTAGAGTGTTGACAAACTTTTTCTATTTTTAACTCCTGTGACCTAGTTTTTGACCGGACATGACCCATCTTCGAACTTGACCTTGAAATCATCAAAACAACCCTTCTGACAAATTTGCGGAATATTTGGATGAAAACTGCATCCACTAGAGTGTTAAAAATATTTTTCTATTTTTAGCTTCTGTGACCTAATTTTTGACCGGTCATGATCTTCGAACTTGACCTAAAAATCATCAAAACAACCTTCCTGACAAATTTCCAGAATATTTGGTTCAAAACTGCAGCCACTAGAGTGTTAACAAGCTTTTTCTATTTTTAGCTCCTGTGACCTAGTTTTTGACCGGAGATGACCCATCTTTGAACTTGGGCTAGAGACCACCAAAACAACTTTCCTGACAAATTTCAAGAATTTTTTAATCAAAACTGCAGCCACTAAAGTGTTAACAAGCTTTTTCTATTTTTAACTCCTGTGACCTAGTTTTTGACCGGACAGGACCCATCTTCGAACATGACCTAGAAATCATCAAAACAACCTACCTGACAAATTTCCAGAATATTTTGATGTAAACTGCAGACACTAGAGTGTTAACAAGCTTTTTCTAATTTTAACTCTTGTGACCTAATTTTTGACTGGACATAACCCATCTTCGCACTTGACTTAGATATCATCAAAACAACCTTCCTGACAAATTTGCAGAATATTTGGATCAAAACTGCAGCCACTACAGTGTTTAGAATATTTTTCTCTTTTTAGCTCCTGTGACCTAGTTTTTGATTTGACATGATCCATCTTCGAACTTGAGCTAGAAATCATCAAAACAACCTACCTGACAAATTTCCAGAATATTTGAATCAAAACTGCAGCCAGTAAAGTGTTAACAAGCTTTCTCTATTTTTAATTAATGTGACCTAGTTTTTGATCGGAGATCACCCATCTTCGAACTTGACCTAGAAATCATCAAAACAACCTTCCTGACAAATTTCCAGAATATTTGGTTCAAACTGAAGCCTCTAGAGTGTTAACAAAATTTTTCTATTTTTAGCTCCTGTGACCTAGTTTTGACCGGAGATGACCCATCTTTGAACTTGGGCTAGAGACCACCAAAACAACTTTCCTGACAAATTTCAAGAATTGTTTAACCAAACTGCAGCCACTAATGTGTTAACAAGCTTTTTCTATTTTTAACTCCTGTGACCTAGTTTTTGACCGGACAGGACCCATCTTCGAACTTGACCTAGAAATCATCAAAACAACCTACCTGACAAATTTCCAGAATATTTTGATGTAAACTGCAGACACTAGAGTGTTAACAAGCTTTTTCTAATTTTAACTCCCGTGACCTAATTTTTGACTGGACATAACCCATCTTCGAACTTAGATATCATCAAAACAACCTTCCTGACAAATTTGCAGAATATTTGGATCAAAACTGCAGCCACTACAGTGTTTAGAATATTTTTCTTTTTTTAGCTCCTGTGACCTAGTTTTTGATCTGACATGACCCATCTTCGAACTTGAGCTAGAAATCATCATAACAGCCTTCCTGACAAATTTCCAGAATATGTGAATCAAAACTACAGCCACTAGAGTGTTAACAAGCTTTTTCTATTTTTAGCTCCTGTGACCTAGTTTTTGACCGGACATGACCCATCTTCGAACTGACTTACATATCATCAAAACAACGTTCCTGACAAATTTGCAGAATATTTGGATTGAAACTGAAGCCACTAGAGTGTTAACAAGCTTTTTCTAATTTTAGCTCCTGTGACCTAGTTTTTGACCGGAGGTTACCCATGATCAAACTCATCTGAGATATTATTGAGACAGATATTCTGACAAAGTTTCATGATGATTGAGAAATAAATGCGACTGCTAGAGTGTTAACGAACTAAATGTGGTTGGACGACGGAGCATCATCGATCCTAAAAGCTCACCCTAAGCATGCTCAGGTGAGCTAAAAATTCAAAAAGAGTTAACCAATAACTACGCTAAGGTAACAATATTTTCTTTTACTTTTATATTCAA